AGGTTAAATACATTTTTTTTTTTAATTCTTTATTTTGGCATGCATAGTGATGGCAAACATGCCGGCACTGCCACAACAGCAGGTACCGGCCATCGTGGGTTAATAGACATGGGTTACATCTGCACATTTTTTTTTTTAATAGTTTTCATGCTTGGTTCAGGGTTAAACAGTAGCTAAGTCAGTATAACATGCAGCATAAAACATGGAAGATCAGAATGCAGACTGACATTAAGGTTAAGTAATAAGGTAATACAAGTACTTGCTTAACAGGTTATCATTAACCCCTTAAGGACCAAACTTCTGGAATAAAAGGGAATCATGACATGTCACACATGTCATGTGTCCTTAAGGGGTTAAGTGTTAAGGTTAGCAAGAGAGAGTAATTTGATAGTCGGTGGTGTGAGAGCGTAACAAGCAGTAGACTTTCAAGCTAGATCAGCTGACTTTGTGCATGGAATTATCTATTCTGTAGCATTACATTGCGTGGTATTTCTGTAGATACATTACTTGTAGACAGTGGCGTACTAAGGGGGGGGAGGAGGGTGCGGTCCGCCCCGGGTGCCACTGGGTGGGGGGTGCCATGACCCTGGAGGCCGCACAGTGCCCTATGGTAGTTAGGGTGCCGTGCGGCCAGAACAGCTCACACACGCAAGGAGCAGCTGAACTGGCCGCACGGAAGGAAAGTGGGGGTGGGACAAAGCAGAATCGGGGGAGGAGCCAAATCGGCAGCGGGTGCGGGGCTTAATACGGCCCTTACCCGCTGCTGTTACTGCTACACATTGAGTTGCAGCAAGAAGGAATCCCTGCCTCTCCACCTAACAGGCTCCAAGGAAGGACTTCAGTGAATCCACTCTTCCTCCAGCTCCTGTCTGTAAGTAATAGTGTGTGACTGTGTCTGTAAAACTGTCTTCCTGTAACCAGGGGCGTTTTAGCCGTGAGGCAAACAAGGCATTTGCCTTGGGCGGCATTTTCCAGGGGGCGGCAAAAAAAGCCGCCCCCCAAATGCCCAGGGCAAATGCCTAGTTAGCCTTGCGGCTAACAGACATGCCGAGCGGGCGGGCGGCGCTGGGCGGGCGGCGCTGGGCGGGCGGGCGGCTTGCGAGGGAGCTCTTCCTCTGAGCTGACTGCTCAGCTCCCTCGCGCGCCGGAGAGTGAGGCTGGGAGCCGGAATATGACGTCATCAACCCGGCTCCCAGCCTCACTCTGCGGCATGCGAGGAAGCTAAGCAGACCGCTCAGAGGAAGTGCTCCCTCGCCAGCCGCCTGCCCAGCGCCCAGCAGCCACTGGACCACCAGGGAGAAAGGGAACCCTCCCCCCCCCCAGCATTCCCAAAGGTAAGGGGTTAAAAAAAAAATGTGTTAATGTGAGTGTGTCTGTTAGTGTGTGTGTGAGTGTGTCTGTTACTGTGTGTGTGTGTGAGTGTGTCTGTTAGTGTGTCTGTTAGTGTGTGTGTGAGTGTGTCTGTTAGTGTGTGTGTGTGTGTGAGTGTGTCTGTTAGTGTGTTTGTTAGTGTGTGTGTGTGTGTCTGTGAGTGAGTGTGTCTGTTAGTGAGTGTGTCTGTTAGTGAGTGAGTGTGTGTGTCTGTTAGTGAGTGTGTCTGTTAGTCAGTGAGTGTATGTCAGTGAGTGTATGTCAGTGAGTGTGTCTGTCAGTGAGTGTGTCTGTCTGTCTGTTAGTGTGTGTGTCTGACTGTTAGTGTGAGTGTGTCTGACTGTTAGTGTGAGTGTGTTTGCCTGTGAGTGTGTGTGTCTGCTAGTGTGTGTCTGCTAGTGAGTGTGTGTGTCTGCTAGTGAGTGAGTGTGTTTGTTGACGTCATCAACCCGGCTCCCAGCCTCACTCTGCGGCATGCGAGGGAGCTAAGCAGACCGCTCAGAGGAAGTGCTCCCTCGCCAGCCGCCTGCCCAGCGCCCAGCAGCCACTGGACCACCAGGGAGAAAGGGAACCCTCCCCCCCCCCAGCATTCCCAAAGGTAAGGGGTTAAAAAAAAATGTGTTAATGTGAGTGTGTCTGTTAGTGTGTGTGTGAGTGTGTCTGTTACTGTGTGTGTGTGTGTGAGTGTGTCTGTTAGTGTGTCTGTTAGTGTGTGTGTGTGAGTGTGTCTGTTAGTGTGTGTGTGTGAGTGTGTCTGTTAGTGTGTTTGTTAGTGTGTGTGTGTGTGTGTGTCTGTGAGTGAGTGTGTCTGTTAGTGAGTGTGTCTGTTAGTGAGTGAGTGTGTGTGTCTGTTAGTGAGTGTGTCTGTTAGCGTGTGTGTCAGTGAGTGTATGTCAGTGAGTGTGTCTGCTAGTGAGTGTGTGTGTCTGCTAGTGAGTGAGTGTGTTTGTGTCTGACTGTGTGTGTATGTTTGGCTGTGAGTGTGTCAGTGAGTGTGTGTGTGTCTGCTAGTGTGTGTCTGCTAGTGAGTGAGTGAGTGTCTGTGTGTGTCAGTGAGTTTGTGTTTCTGTTAGCTAGTGTATGCGTATCTGTCAGTGAGTGTGTGTGTATTTAGAAGGCGGGGCAGGGGGGAAGGGATGGGTGGGGGTCGCGCGCTCGTGGGGGGGGTGGGGGGGAATTGGGGGGCCTAGGGCAGCACAAAACCAGGATACACCGCTGCCTGTAACTGTGTTTGTGTGTGTGTGTCTGCATGCCTGTAACTGTGTTTGTATGTGTGTATGTCTGCATGCCTGTAACTGTGTTTGTGTGTGTGTGTCTGCATGCCTGTAACTGTGTATGTGTGTGTGTGTGTGTGACTGCATGCCTGTAACTGTGTGTGTGTGACTGTCTGCCTGTAACTGTGTATGTGTGTGTGTGATTGCATGCCTGTAACTGTGTGTGTGTGTGTGTGTGTGACTGCATGCCTGTAACTGTGTGTATGTGACTGTCTGCCTGTAACTGTGTATGTGTGTGTGTGTGTGTGTGTGTCTGTTAGTGTGTGTGTGAGTGTGTCTGTGAGTGTGTGTGTGTGAGTGTGTGTGAGAGTGTGTCTGTTAGTGTGTGTGTGAGTGTCTGTGAGTGAGTGTGTCTGTTAGTGAGTGTGTCTGTTAGTGAGTGAGTGTGTGTGTGTGTGTGTGAGTGTGTCTGTTAGTGTGTGTGTCTGTTAGTGAGTGAGTGTGTGTGTGTGTGTCTGTTAGTGAGTGTGTCTGTTAGTGTGTGTGTCAGTGAGTGTCTGTCAGTGAGTGTGTCTGTCTGTTAGTGAGTGTGTCTGTCTGTTAGTGTGTGTGTGTCTGACTGTTAGTGTGTGTGTCTGACTGTTAGTGTGAGTGTGTCTGACTGTTAGTGTAAGTGTGTTTGCCTGTGAGTGTGTGTGTCTGCTAGTGTGTGTCTGCTAGTGAGTGTGTGTGTCTGCTAGTGAGTGAGTGTGTTTGTGTCTGACTGTGTGTGTTTGCCTGTGAGTGTGTCAGTGAGTGTGTGTGTGTCTGCTAGTGTGTGTCTGCTAGTGAGTGAGTGAGTGTCTGTGTGTGTCAGTGAGTTTGTGTTTCTGTTAGCTAGTGTATGCATATCTGTCAGTGAGTGTGTGTATTTAGAAGGCGGGGCGGGGGGAAGGGATGGGTGGGGGACGCGCGCGCGTGTGGGGGGGCCAAGGGCAGCACAAAACCAGGATACACCGCTGCCTGTAACTGTGTTTGTGTGTGTATGTCTGCATGCCTGTAACTGTGTATGTGTGTGTGTGTGTGTGTGACTGCATGCCTGTAACTGTGTGTGTCTGTCTGCCTGTAACTGTGTATGTGTGTGTGTGTGTGACTGCATGCCTGTAACTGTGTGTGTGTGACTGTCTGCCTGTAACTGTGTGTGTGTTTGTGACTGCATGCCTGTAACTGTGTGTGTGTGTGTCTATCCGTCTTTAACTGTGTGTGTGTGTGTGTGTGTGTCTGCCGGTGACTGTGTGATGTTGCCTGTAACTGTGTGTGTGACGGTAACTGTGTATGTGTGTGTGACTCTCTGCCTGTGACTGTGTGTGTGTGACTGTATATGTGACTGTCTGCCAATAACTGTGTATGTGACTGCCTGGCTATGACTCTGTGTGACTACCTGTAACTGACTGTGTGTGTCACTGTCTGCCTATAACTGTGTGTGTGACTGTGTGACTGTCTGCATGTGACTATGTATGTGTGACTGTCTGCCTGTGACTGTCTGATGTTGCCTGTAACCGTGTGTGACTATCTGTCTGTGACTGTGTGCATGTGACTGTCTGCTGCTGCCTTTTACTGTGTGTGACTGTCTGCCTGTGAGCATGTGTGTGTGTGTGTGTGAATGTATATGTGATTGTCTGCCTGTAACTGTGTGCATGACTGTCTCTGACTGTATGTGTGACTGTCTGCCTGTAACTGTGTGTGTGTGACTGTCTGCCTGTAAATGTGTGTGTGGGGCTGCAGGGATTTTTTAGAAGGGGGCAGGGGTTTTGTATTGGGACAGGAGTCTTTATAAGGGGATTTGTATATGGGGGTTGCAGGGATTTTGTAGATGGGGGCAGTACAGGATTTGTAGACAGGGCGGGACATGGGTTTTGTAGGAAGGGGTGGGGCACACAAGGGTTTTGCAGAAGAGGGCTGACAGCGGTTTTGCAAAGTTTCCAAATTTGTTCAATACATTAAAAAAAAGAAAACATTTAAAAAATGTTACAGGTTTTTTTTTGGGGGGGGAAGGAGGGGTGTGGGGGTGCCAAGCCCAGGATCCGCCCCTGGTGCCAAATGCTCTAGGTACGCCCCTGCTTGTAGATAGTGTGGGTATAATGCTATGCTTCTTTAGTTAGTTGTGCTATAAATTCCATGCTACATAATATATCTGACATCTATATGTATATTTAGTGTTACAGTGTGCATGACTAACTGGCTCTGAATATGACAATGATACCTCGTCTGTGCTATACATATTAGCGACAGTATTAGTAGGTCTAACGGCAGTAGATATGTACATTCTAGATTACAGTGATGGCTATTGTGGTTTAGCACATGCTATTGAGCGCTCTAATTTAACTTAACCTCTGGAATCTAGGCATGAACAATAATGGTCGCAGGCAATGTCCATTATGGCTGCATAGTCCTGGCAAAAAGCAGGGCTCCAGCAGATGTGTCCCAGTGAGCTTCAGCATTGCGGGCCATTCTGTATCTTGTGTCTTGGGTTTGTGTGGTAGCTGGTGCACCCATACCGACCAGCTTGATATCCGCCTGTCAGATAAAGCAATTCTTCTCCTCGGGTCTCTCGAGGGTCAACTCACAGGTGGTCCCAATGGTTTCCCCAGGTAAATACTGCCAGGCGGTGATGGTATATTAGCTGTTTCTGCACGGCAGCGGTGGGCAAGGGGGTCACCTGCAGCCTGCTTTCTCCGTCAGTATATTTTATGCAGTAGCAGTTTTCTCTTTGCGCAGTCAGGTTGATGCGGCGTGACTGTCGGCTTTTAGGAGGCCACTGAGGTTGCTTTGTGTTGCGCTTGTGTTCTCCTCTGTCTGGCTCCCCTATGGCTTGTGTCTGTTTTGTGCGATCAAGCAGCATGGACCAGAAGATGACCCCCAGGGTGTCCATGGCATGGTCCCTGGGGTGTGCTTTATCCTGTTGCGGTATTGTCTGGCCCAGCACTGCAGTGCCTGGTGCGTCTGCCATTTTGAGTGGCTTCAGGTCCTTGCAGCATGAGAGTTCTGCCGGGTACCCAGCAGTGCTCAGGCCAGCGGCAGCTCAGGTCTTTGTGGACCGGGATAACCCCCACCGGTCCGGGGGAGGGGAAATGAGATGTGTGTGCCCCCTCATCGGCCAGAGAACTGGGAGAACGGCCGTCTCTCCTCGGCTCCCACCCGCACAGAACACTCATCGCTTGTGGTCCGCCCGGTTCTGGAGGACCAATTATCTGGTATCCCCGGGTTCAGGTCAGTCTTCTATGCTTGATTAGTGGAGTCAGCAGTCGATGTGCTCGGGTGGTCGGGCGTTATGCCCTGAATCTTGGCTCCAGACACGGGAGCCCACGCTTTGCACATCTTGTTTGCTTGGTGGTCAGGCTCCGTCACTGGCTATGCCTATTTTAACCAGTAATCCTGATAAGAACTGTATGAATTATGAAATGTGGTTCCAAACAGTAAGTCCATTGCACAAAGGTCCATGCAGCCTTTCTGCCCCAGGACACAAGTTGCTTAGACAAAACCTGTCATAATATTTGTTTGTATGTTTCTAAAGAGCAATTTCTAGTAATTATGTAAAATAAATGCTGTGGGCATACGTTTTTTAAATATAAGTACTGGGTGTGTTTTCTTTCTCAATGAGGGATTTATCTTTTCAAGCTATTAGAATTGCCTCCAGGTTTTGACATTTCATTGGCTCTTTGTTATTGCACATTACAACCTACACATTTCTGAAAATAATACATACTTTTGTACTATGTGTGCATATGAGAATGTTAATCTTTGTATGTTTGGAGTAGCTTTATTAGTTCAGTGATACAAAGTAAATATAATAGTTTGCAGAATCTTAAAATACTTTTAAAGTACCTTTTTTGGCAAGATGAGCTTTCAAGAAATTGATACACTGATCAGCCAGAACATTAACACCATCTGCCTAGTATTCTGTATGACTCCCCTCCATCCCCCTTGCTGCCAAAAGAGCTCTGATGCTTGGGGAAAGGACTCCACCCCTGAACGTGTCCTGTGGTATCTGGCACCAAGGCATAAGACGTAAGTTATGAGGTTGGGCCTCCATGGATTGGATTTGTTGTTCCAAAACATGATACAGACACTCAATCAGATTCAGATCTGGGGAATTAGGAGGTCAAGACAACACATTGAGCTCTTTGTCAAATCATTCCTGAACATTTTTTGCAGAGTACATAGTCCTGCTGAAAGAGGCCACTGCCATCAGGGAACACTATTGCCATGAAGGGGGTGTTTGTGGTCTATAACAATCTATAGTTATGTGGTACGTGTCAAAGTAACATCCACATGAATATTGGCCCCCCCCAAAAAAACATGATTCATCAGACCAGGCAACTTTCTTACATTACTCCATGATCCAGTTCTGACGCTCACTGAAGGCGGTGTACAGGGGTCATCATGGGCTCTCTGACCGATCTGCAGCTACACAGCCCTGTACGCAGCAAACTACTCTGACACCTTTCTATCATTGCTAGCATTAAGCTTTTCAGCAATTTGAGCTACAGTAGCTATTCTCTGTGATTGGACTAGAAGTGCTAGCCTTCGCTCCTCCATGCATCAATGAGCCTTGGGAATCCATGACCCTGGCATTGATTCATCGGATGTCCTTCCTTGCACTACTTTTGGTAGGTACTAAGCACTGCATACTGGGAACACCCCACAAGACTTGGAGAGAAGATTTGGAGATACTTTGACCAGTGGCAGACTGGCAAGGGTGTCAGCTAATTGCTGATGGCCTTCTTTAAGTCAGCAGCCGGCAAAATTGGCCACTAGGGGGCCCAAGACAGCTTTCCCTTAAGTTTGCAACAATCTCTGAAAGCATTGTGCGCATTTGTTTTTTTATTACACTATGCGACGATTGGCATTCCCGCATAGGGTTGGACTTGCTCCTCCCTTGCCTTGCGCCTGTAGCTTGACGGTGACATCCTACATGTAGACGGAGTCACGCTAGGGTCATACCACGACGGAGTAGCCTCCTAGTCAGTGCAGCCGGTGACAAAATTTTCCTTTGGAAGGTGGGTAATTGTAGAGGTCTCTCACTCACTTCAGCTGCCCCACAAGTCACAGCTCAGCCTCAAAAAATCCAAGGGCAGAGTATAGGATATTTGATACCCTACGAGGGAGCACTGATCCTCCTGTTCAGCTCCCTTGTGCGCCGCGGAGTGATGCCGGGAGCTGGAATATGACATCATATTCTGGCTCCCGGCATCACTCTGCGGCGCGCGAGGGAGCTGAGCAGAGAACTCAGTAATCAGTGCTCCCTCGCCAGCGCCACCTGCCTGACCGGATTTTTATTTAGCTGCCAGGCTAACAAGACATTTGCCCTGGGCATTTGGGGGCTGCTTTTTTTACCGACCCCTGGAAAGTGCCGAACAAGGCAAATGCCTTTATGTGCCGGTGGGGAAATCAGATTATTTTGGGGCGTCCTAGGTGTTTTGACCCTAGCAACACCCCTGCTTAACAATAAAACTCACAGTAATATGCATAGCAGTGTATAACAGCTTTACAGGTATACAATAGGTAACTAATTGTGCATTTTGTTTCAAGGGACACTACATTGCACAAATAAAAAATAAATAAAATTCACTGTTTAGTAGATATACCCCAAATTAACTGTGACTGTCTGTCTGTGTGACTGCCTGCCTGTGTGTGTGTGTGTGACTGCCTGTGTGTGTGACTGTATGTCTTTGTGACTGCCTGCCTGTGTGTTTGTCTGCCTGTGTGTGTGACTGTCTGTCTGTGTGACTGTCTGCCTGTTTGTGTGACTGTCTGACTGCCTGCCTGAGTGTGTGACTGCCTGCCTGTGTGTCTGCCTATGTGTGTGTGTGTGACTATCTGTCTGTGTGACTGTCTGCCTGCCTGCCTGTGTGTGTGTGTGTGACTGTCTGTCCTGACTGCCTGCCTGTGTGTGACTGTTTGCCTGTGTGTGTGTGTCTGCCCGCCTGTGTGTGTGACTGTTCGTCTGCCTGCCTGCCTGTGTGTGACTGTTTGCCTGTGTGTGTGTGTCTGTCTGTCTGTGTGACTGCCTGCCTGTGTGTGTGTGTGTGACTATATGTCTGTGTGAATGCCTGTGTGTGTGACTTTCTGCCTTTGTGTGACAGTCTGCATGTGTGTGTGACTGTCTGACTGCCTGCCTGAGTGTGTGACTGCCTGCCTGTGTGTGTGTGTGTGTGTGTGACTGTCTGCCTGCCTGCCTGTGTGTGACTGTTTGCCTGTGTGTGTGTGTGTGTGTGTCTGTCTGTGTGACTGCCTGTGTGTGTGTGTGTGTGTGTGTGTATGTGACTATATGTCTGTGTGATTGCCTGTATGTGTGACTTTCTGCCATTGTGTGAAAGTCTGCATTTGTGTGTGACTGTCTGTCTGTGACTGTAACTGTGTGTGACTCCAATTGTGTGTCGCTGTAGCTGTGCCGTTGTGTGTGCCTGTGCCTGTGCCTGTATGTGTGACTATCTGCCTATCTGTCTCCAACAGGCAACCTCCTGTGCCTACTCAAGTTAGCACTGGCCCTGGGGAGAGGAGTAAGCTTACACTTATTGCACTCACAACATTGCAGGAATACTTTTTTGCACACCTTTCTGGTGTTTGGTGAATCACCTTTTTGTTTTGAAAAAACCTTTCAGCTGCTTTATCTTCTATTGAAGTTGCCATAGGAGGAATATTAAAGGACCACTCTAGGCACCCAGACCACTTCAGCTTAATGAAGTGGTCTGGGTGCCAGGTCCAGCTAGGATTAACCCATTTTTTATAAACATAGCAGTTTCAGAGAAACTGCTATGTTTACAAATGGGTTAATCCTTCCTCCAATTCCTCTAGCGGCTGTCTCATTGACAGCCGCTAGAGGCGCTTGCGTGATTCTCACTGTGAAAATCACAGTGAGAGCACGCAAGCGTCCATAGGAAAGCATTGTAAATCGCTCTTGCTGCACGTGCGCATTCAGCCGAATGGGAGGAAAGGAGGAGGATCGGAGGAGGAGAGCTTCCCGCCCATTCCTCTCCCCAAAGCCGGGTGGGAGGGGGACCCTGAGTGTGGGGGCACCCTCAGGGCACTATAGTGCCAGGAAAACGAGTATGTTTTCCTGGCACTATAGTGGGCCTTTAATCACATATTTAGTGAGAAAATGAAACGTAACATTCCATTAGGAAAACAAAAACCTTAAACTGCTCAACCTATATATACGGCTTTGCAGCTAAACAAAAATGTGTCTGACATTCAGTCTACCTTCAAGTATGGCCCCTATCAAGTTTAATTAATGGGACACTCCAGGGACAAAAACAGTTTCATCTAAATTAAGTTGTTTTGGTGCCAGGAAGCCTCTTGAGGCACTCTTACATGAAGAGGTTAAACTGTACTCAAATGGTTTACCCCCAAGTTGCATCCAGCACTGGTCTTCACTCCTCCCCTGGCGGCATCCAGCTTCAGAATTTTCACTTACAGGAAGCACGGAGTGTCGCCGGGCAGGGACGCCGCTGATTGACTGATAGAAGCAGCTGACAGCTTTTAGCCAATCAGTGAATCCCCATTCACTAAACTGGCTTGCAAACGGTACCTTCCACGCCAGTTTAATGAATGGGGATTCACTGATTGACTGAGAGCATCAGCTGACTGCTCTCAGCCAATCAGGTAAGAGTGCCTCAAGGGGCCTCCTGGCACCAAAACAACTTTATTTTGTATGAAGTTGTTTTGGTGTTGGGAGTGTTCCTTTAATGCAGGAGGCACTGGATGGTTGCTGGAGTCCACTGTGCATTGAATGTCTGTGACCTCGAGTGCTCTATCCTCGTGGATTACTGCCCACATATTGTGCTTCAACTGCTTGGTGAAAGTTACGAGCATGTTTTGTTTTTGTTTGTTTTTGTTTAATTCAGGGAATGTTGAAAGTGTGGGGATGAATGGAAATGATCCCCTACTATTAATTTTGCTGGGGTAGCAAGTAGAGAGACCCTTTACTCACAGTTATTGCAGGTGCCC